CGATGGGGCTGGCCTAGGCTCTCTTATGGAAGAGAGACAACCACATATGGAAACCTGACGCAAAGTAATGGTGATATGCGTAAAGACGCCTTCCTTGGAGTATGAAGGGTTTTGAGAAGAAGACAGGTTGGATACCTGGAGGATAAAAAAAAGGATATAAAAAAGAGGCCAAGGACTGTCCCAAGAAGCAATTATTGCAGTTAGTTGATAAAGGACTGAACGGAGAAGAAAAAGAAATTACATATTAAAATTAATAATAAGATCCTGATAACATGAAGATTGATCAAAGGGGTGGCTGGCGAGGGAGCCTTCCTATTAGTTCAATAGTGCTTAGCGAAAGGCTTGAGAGCAAGCCAGCGAATGATACACCCCGAGACGGTACGGGAGAGCAGGGTCGGGTAGGCGGATACCGAGTGGAGTGCCCGTATAGTTAGCCTCCTAGTTGGCTACTGCTTGGTATGGAGTTTATGTATCAAATTATGCCCTGGCCCCCGAGGGAGACGAGGCCGAAGAAACCTGGGGTAAGTCAGTTAGCAAGCCCTCATAGAAGAGTTGGCCATGTGGAAATGGAGGAGACAATATGGAATCCTCCAAACCTCCGAACCGCATGACTATATCCACCTAGGACAGCAAGAAGGTCAAACGCATGCACAGTTACCGCTGGACTTTGTGCGTCGAGTCTGGCTCATGTCGTCTCGGTGCTGGAATGCTGGATGATTTCTCCCTTTGCTTCTGCCATCAAACCCACTCGTATAAATGCCATCGAGGTGCCATAGTATGTGTGCTTTATGCAAGTGGTCGATGGAAACGGCTCTGTCCCATGGTCGAGAGATAAGCAAGGTCAGCTGGCCATAGAGGAGCCGTCCATCCTGCTCGCTGTCCCATCATATTGGTCTGTTTGTATGCGTCAACAACTTTCTTTTTTCGGGGAGAAGTCCTTTTCACTGTGCAGCCTTGATTCCCACTAGTTAAGGCATATTTTAACCCTGCTTGAGCAACGGAGTATTCTAAGGGGACTTTCAAGCTGCTGCACAATGTGTTGTTGATGGACTCGAGCGCCTGCCGATCAATGCCTGTGTGAAATGCCACTTGGCAGCGTGAGTTGCAGCAAGTGAGGGTTAGACATAGACGAAGCATTAATATTTGGTTTCGTCATAGAGCATCGAGTTTACGAGGGGCAAGGCCTTGGGAGTTGCATGCCATACTCGTTGAAGTGGCTCGTTCTGCATGTAGAAAAGCAAGCACAAGCTTTTAGGACCTTCGGCCCCGACTGCGAGTCGGCATAAGAGTCGGCGTGTTTTTTATTATTTGTTTTAGACAGGCAGAAACCGAAGTAACCCCGTATGATAGGGATGTTGGGCGTTGCAGACAGCTGGCACACGCTCGACTGCTGAATCAGTATCTCTAGACAGTCTAAGGTGGTTGTTGAGGTGTGTAAGAAGGAAGATTGCAGTCACGCCCCTGTACGGCTAGATGAGGTCATGTCATACAGCTTCGTTGGTGTAGGAACAGTTGTTGCACAAGCAGGGATGCCCCGGAACTCAAGAGAGAGACGCGGCCTGGCTTGTTGGGTTTGCATATCATCGCTATGTAGTGTACAGAATAGATAATGAAGATGAGGTGTTGATGGCAAAGGCCCCGGCAGCATGCCGTACATTGATAACCTGTGTATCTCTGGTGTGATGCAGTAGACGTAACCATGATGATCCATAAAAAGAAACCCCTCCGTCTGTTGCCAGTCGATATGGTCCGCTCGGGTTTGTAGCGCTTTTTATTTCCACAGCTTACCGAGACTGACCTCCTTGTCATCGTGTTTATTGAGAACCTTGGCTGTTGCGAGATCAAAGTCCTCCTGCGTAACGTGTACTCTTCGCTCTCGCAAGGCGTACATGCCGGCTTCGGTACATACTCCCTTGAGTTCAGCACCAGAGCAGCCGTTCATTTTTTCTGCAATCTTTGTCAGGTTAATGCCACGCGTTAAGTTCATCGAGCGCGAGTGGATGCGGAGAATGTCAGCTCTGGCTTCGACACTACAGTGGACAAATAAAAGCATCAAGTTAGCCTTCAAAATTGGGGTGTGGGAGGGCAGGAGTATACAATAAGTACGTACGAGGGTGGAGGGAATTCAATCTTCCTGTCTATCCTGCCGGGCCGGAGAAGTGCTGGGTCGAGAATGTCCAGCCGGTTGGTAGCCATAATGATCTTTATATTCTTTGTCGGTTCAAATCCGTCAAGCTGATTGAGAAGTTCCAACATGGTGCGTTGTACCTCCGAGTCTCCACCACTGCTTCCCTCTACTCGACTGGAGCCAATACTATCGATCTCGTCCATGAATATAATGCTGGGAGCGTGCTCTCGGGCCATGACGAAAAGCTCTCGAACCATCCTACTTCCCTCGCCAATATATTTTTGTACAAGCTCTGAACCACTGACTCGGATGAACTTGCAGTCTGTATGGTGTGCCACCGCTCGCGCAAGTAGCGTCTTGCCCGTCCCTGGAGGCCCATACAGAAGTACACCCTTGGGCTGTGCGATCCCGAGGGACTCAAATAGCTCAGGGTGCTTGAGGCCCAGCTCTATAACTTCTTTGATCTCCTTGATCTGCTGGTCCAGTCCACCGATCATATCATAGGTACTATCTGGCACCTTTTCGACCATCATCAAAGACACCAGCGGATCGACAGAGGATGGCAGCATCTTCTCTAGCTTGTATGTATCGGACAGGAGAGACACTCGTTTGCCGACGGTTAGCTTTGCTATGTCGACACCGTCCGCAATATCAACCACTAGACACGTCATCCAGTCAGTACTCAGCATACAGTACACGGCTCCTGTGCATTAAATCAAGAGTGGACTTGCCGTATTTCCCTTCTGGGTGGACCTTGACCAGGACCTTTTTTGTACCCATGACCTTGACCACTTCACCGACATAGGAGCCTGGCTGCTGCAAAAGACCCAGCTCTTCCCGCAGCAACCTGACTCTAGAGTTGTAGTCATTCCTCTGCGCCTCTAACCGCCTGAGAACGGCCTGCCCCTGAATGATCTCGAGCTTCATGCTCTCTATCTTGTTCCGGTAATAGCTATCAAGCGCCATGGTGGCCGGCCGGAGGTTTGGCTTTGAGATCGGAGATTCGACTTGATCAACGGCAGGTAGAAAGATAAATCAAATGGAATGGATGTCAAAACAAGCAGAAAAAGAATCGCACGACGGGCTCCTGGAGGTATCTTCTCGCTGATGTCGGCGTTGACCTTATCGTTGGCGCTGAGGATGAGGTTGACGTTTTGCCGTCGTTGTTTTTGTTCGCTGGAGAGAGAAAGCTGAGAGAGGTCCAGCTGACTAATATGAATTAGATAAGAATAGTGACTAAGTTATGACTAATTCTACGGGATGACTAATATTAATAAGCAATCATCTGCTTCGGTCACGTTTTTAGTTTTACCGAGCAGAAAAAGCAACGACAGCAAAACATCCGCAGAAGTCGAAGTCAGCTGGAGGACGACGGCGAAGGAAGACGAAGATATTAAAGGCACAAGACGAGCTGATCTGAAAGGAGGGCTGCCTGAGCTGAGCTGGCATCTGGCGGGCGCTTTCGGCTTCTTGCTCTATCTGCAGCTCTTGAGGGGAACTGGAGGCAAGGTGGTTTATGTGCCTGGTAACGCTCCTTGTTTCCGAAGCAACACAACAGGAGATGTCCTTGATAATAATAATATAGGTCGCTTTACCCAGGAAAATACACCCGTCTCCTAAGCATCGACAGTCTACTATGAATAGCGTTGCACTCACGTGTGGGAGAACTGGTGCGATCCTTTCGTCGTGAAGCTGCCGATATACTAAAAAACACGCCTGCTGTGGTACCACCTACAGCTATGGCCTCACATGCCGCAGACGACCACGATGATACGGAGAACAGCCAGGAGCAGTCGTCTTCCATGGCCTCGAGTCCAAGACAGTTTGCTCCTATCACTAGGACAGAGAGCGAACGCGCTGAAGAGCTTGCGAGGAGTCGGCATGGGTATACTTATGGTCTGCCAGCCACCCACTTTGGAACGGTTCATGGCATCTCAGTGCTAACGGGAAGACAGGCTCCATAGGTACATCTGGTAGCTCCCACGGGGAGTCTTCCGCTTATGACCCGTCGAGATCACCCATGATCGAGGCCATGTCCTCCGAACGAACACCGAAGAAACCTGCAATTTTACGCCGTGTCTCCTCGAAACCACACAGGGGCCAGGAGTTCTCTGTTGATGACGATGTGAGTGAGGTGGAAGACAAGACCTTGAGGCAGCCGGCTCTCTCTGGTAGGTCTACGGCTCGACAGCACTCGTCTATTCGACGCCGAAATGTCATGCCGTCGACAGTACTCACTCGAGTTGATTCCGAGGACGAACGTCAAGATGGTCCAATTGCGAGCGGAAGCCAGGCTGGCGAGAACGAAGAGAATGACGTTGATGATATTGGTGAAATGGCTGATGATGATGGTGTCGTTGATGACGATGATGCTAGCGACGCCGAAAGCTTTACTCTCAAAGACAGGCAACAAGCTATAAACGAGACTCACCCGTTTGGTATCAGAATCTGGAAGCCGGCCTTATACAAGAAACTTCGGTCTGTTGAGAAAACTGCTGAAGGGGATATTCATTCAGTACCTGGACAGCGTGTCAGTCCCTGGCTTTTTCTAGCCAACATTCTGTGGACGGTGGTCTTCGGCTGGTGGCTCGCCCTGGCGGCGTTGATCGGTGCCATTGCTTGTTTCGCCATTGGGTTCTCCCCAGACTCTTCAGCATATGGTAGGGTGTTTTGGGGACTCTCTGGCTACCTGCTATACCCCTTTGGTGCCATGGTTCGCCTGAAGCCCGACGAGAATTATGCCGAAGAGGACGAAGGCGAAGGGAGAAGCATCAGCGAGTACGAGCAATGGCAGAGCGGTGACATTGAACGGGGAGGCCTGTTTTTTGGTCCGATTGCGAATGCTCGCTCGCTAGTAGGACGACGGAGAAATAGTATGGACTCTACCAGTGAGCGAGACAGCCTGCTTGGTAGGACTGGACGGCACCACTCTGATGATAGCGAAACAGCTAGGACCAAACGCCGCCTCTTTGGACGCGGCGAATGGACCACTGGTCGGGTCATGTTTTACATCTTCTTCTACCTTCTAGTCGGCCCGCTACTACTCTCAGTCTCCCTCATATGCTGGATTCTCGTGTTCTGGATACCCATGGGCCGCGTTACGATCATTCTGTTTCATCATCTTCGTCGACATCCCCTTGCACTATCCTTTCACTCAGATAGCACATACACCAGGCTACAGTCAGGCCCTTCATCCTCGATTCTCCTTTGTACCTACCGTGCAGCCGGCTTAAAATATTGGAAATACACTGTTGATGGAACCAACATCTTCCTTATTAACTTACTGGCTGTCGTCTTTTTCGTCATCTTTGATTTCCACGTCTTGCGCAAGATCTTTCCCACAGATAATTTTATCACACATCCTGGCCTGATATTTGTGCTGGCTCTGATTGCTGTGACGCCGCTTGCCTATTTCATCGGGCAAGCCGTTGCCTCTATATCTGCCCAGTCTTCCATGGGTCTGGGTGCGGCCATCAATGCCTTCTTCTCTACCCTGGTAGAGGTATACCTTTACTGCATTGCATTATCCCAAGGTAAAGCCCAGCTCGTGGAAGGGAGCATTATTGGCAGTATATTCGCCGGTATCCTGTTTTTGCCTGGGATATCAATGTGTTTCGGAGCCATCATCCGCAAGACTCAGAGGTTTAACGTCAAGTCAGCCGGTGTGACGTCGACAATGCTCTTATTTGCCGTTATTGCGGCCTTTGGCCCGACTCTCTTTTATCAAATCTATGGCAGAGTAAGGCCCTCTTCGTCCGTTAATGGAATTGACCAGGCTAACCATTGGCTCTCCTAGCACGAACTGAACTGCCATTCTTGCAGTCACGTTAAACTCACAGGAGGCAGAGACTGTCGCCGTTGTTACTTCTCCCAGGTCCCGGCTGTCGATGATGATTTTTTTATGAAGGCAGTACAGCCATACTCCTACTTTGCTGCTGTTCTACTCTTTCTGTCCTACATCATTGGTCTTTGGTTTACTCTTCGGACTCACGCTGCCATCATCTGGTCCACTGACATTGAGGAGAAAAGGCCGCATTCTGATGCCCATAGACTCGTCTCTCACTCACATATTGATCATGCGCATGGCAGTACCAGTCTCAAGGGTTCCATAAGAGACTCGCAGCTATACGCTCGAATCCTTGGACAATCTCTCAAGCATGTAGGTTTAAGTCCAAGCTCTGAACAGTCGACTGCGGCAATTAGTCCCAATGAGGCTGCAACTGTGCACGTTGTACCCCCCAAGGACAAGAATAAGTACCAAGGTCCCTACAATATGAAGATTCCCTCCCTCACTGCAGAAGAAAACGATCAACTGGTCCGACAGGTCACCGAAGTGGCAGCAACCGCGGCCACGGTTGCTGCCCGAGATGCCGCCGGCCCAAGGCATGTATCAGGCACACCCGGAATCAAGACCCCGGTAGGAACCACTGGGACTCCCACCATAGGCCACTCTGAGGAGGCAGGGGTATTTACAGAACCTCACGCCGAGTCACATGGACACGATGCTCCAAATTGGGGCAAGACAAAAAGTTTTGTTATATTACTAGCCGCGACATTGCTGTATGCAGTGATTGCCGAGATCTTGGTGAATACGGTTGATGTAGTGCTACAAAGCTATGATATTGATGAGAAGTTCCTTGGAATTACCCTATTTTCTTTGGTTCCCAACACTACTGAGTTTTTGGTGCGTTTCTCTCCTTAATAATTGATGGGGTATGATCCACGGGAGTAAGAGTACTAACAGGAGTAGAACGCCATTTCTTTCGCAATGAACGGGAACATAGCGCTGTCCATGGAGATCGGCTCTGCGTATGCACTGCAGGTGTGTCTGCTGCAAATTCCGGCCTTGGTACTATTCAGCGCCGTGCATACCTCGATATTTAATCCGTCTGACCTTCTGGAGCATTCATTCAAGTGAGATAACAATCCATCAATGTGCTATATGTGAGCCCATTTACTAACAGTCTTTGTCCGATCTAGCTTGATATTCCCGCAGTGGGACATGATCACCGTCATCCTGTGTGTGTTCCTCCTATCATATGTTTATGGTGAAGGGAAGAGCAACTACTTCAAAGGCTCAATTCTGCTTCTTACATATATCTTTGTCGTTATGGGCTTTTACCTGTCCAGTCTCAGCACGATGGGTGTCCAGCAGCTTCAATCAACTTCTCTCGGCGTTGCTCGGAATGATGACGGCTCATTTCAAGTCAGTGGTTAGAGGATTGTGTCTGTTGTCTGAAGGAGTACATAGCCATATAGGAGGGGAACTATGTTGTTTCCAGTTATATATGTTGCGTTCTGTGGTGGAGATACAAAACTAATTGCATAGTCCAGTATATAATTCTCAAACTGAAATTTTTTGGTCTGCTTGTCATTGCCGTTTGTTTCAACTTGTTTTGCTGTTTGTAGCTATTAGCTAGATAGCTAACTGGACGCCTCAGTAGACATAGTCGAGCGTATTCTGTCGTCCATCCAGCCTGCTGTTTGCTACAAGAATACACGCATCTTGTCGCTATAGCGGCCTCGAAATTTAACTTGCTTTAACCTTAAGCGCCAGAGCTTTCTTATTGGCCAATTTCAATTAACCCTTATAGTACCATCACGTGATGACTTTAGAAGAAGCTGCTTAGCTCATCATTAGTTACCCTCTTCCACCACATTTCAAAACATTTCAAATGGTTCCAATTAAATACCTGATAATAATGAGACTCCCTGTCTCTTCACTTACACCGTAACCGCTCTCATTTTACCCCTTTGTTATTTCTTCAGCTTCTGGCCCAACTCTTCTTGGATGCCATCACCGTCCTATACACAGGCGCGGCAAGCTTCCCTCGGTTTAGCTGCACGGTCAGCTTGTCAAACTGAAGAGAGTCACAGAGAGCAACAAATCTAGCTATACACAGTTATAAATCCGTACAAAAGATAGAGATGAGAAACTAAGGGGGAAAGCTAAGCTACTTGATGTTACTTGATGTTTGTTCTAACTAACTTAATAATAATACTGTTATAGTTAGCTAACTTTCGAGATTCTAGAATGTCCAAGATGAGCTTGCGTCACTAAATCTACAATTTAATACGGCTGAGGAGGAGCGGCCAAAGAAGTTTGAGGAAGAGAATCACCAGCTCGTAGACAGATGAATGGCAAAAATGGGACAGGAGTCTGAAGCTATGAACGAAGCATCCAGGTTTTCTTCACTTAAGAGTTATAGGCTTTGAAGGATGATCAAAGTGAACATCAACTTTAACGTCGGCATTATCTTCACGAATCAGGAGTGTTGAAGAGGTATTATCATTGATATAAGCCTTGATATGTCGCCTCTAAGTGGATTGATCTGCCTTGGAGGGTGCTTGATAGCGAGGCTATCCAGCCATGCGTCTTGTCGCTACGAATGACATGACAGGGTGCGCCCATGTCTAACTGCTAGGGTATGATGCAGACTAATTTACCTTGGTCGAGTCGAGTCCTCAGAGGACGCTTGTAGACTTCATTGCTTTCATTTCAGGTTTCAAGAATAGCCACCGTGTCAGGTCGGCTAACCAAGGAGTCCAGGTCATATAGGGTGGTTATATAAGGACAAAGCCGCCAATATCAGAGCTTCATTTGCCTCGGGTCACGAGGAGAAGCGTGGTTTTGTCTTCCCTAGACTCGGGATCGGCGCCCTTTGCATGTTAACGAGGTTAACGAGTTTGGATTTGGTGTCTCTATCCCTTGTCCCTGCAGAGGTCTCCAGCCCCTCGTATCGCGGGGGCGGAATGGCCAAACGACATCCATGTCAGGCATAACGAGCTAGTTTTCTTTGATGGCAGACAGCCATAGCAATACGGCACCGCGGGTGCCAGTGCCGGGGCAATATTTAAATGCGGGGTTTCAGCGCTGTCTTGCAGGGGGAATTCTGCATTTAAATATGGAGGCATCTCTGTGTGGGCTGGCAGGGGCGGGAGAGAGAGACGGTGACAGAAGCAAACCCAGAGTCGGACGGAAGTGTCTGTCTCTGTCTGATATACCGCTCCGGTCTCTGCTGCAATATCTGATAATATCTACTTGGAGAATCGACAATGGTGTCATTCTGCGGAGTGGCAGCCTGCCTGCTGACAGTTGCTGGCCATCTTGCGCAGGCTCAGTTCCCACCAAAACCGGAGGGAGTCACTGTCCTGGAGTCGAAATTCGGCAGCGGTGCTCGCATCACTTATAAGGAGGTCCGTTAGCTGCATAGAAAGTCCACGTGAAGACGCTGTAGCTAACAATCCACTAGCCTGGCCTCTGTGAGACGACAGAGGGCGTCAAGTCGTACGCCGGATATGTCCATCTGCCTCCAGGCACGCTCAGGGACTTCGGTGTCGAGCAGGACTACCCTATCAACACCTTTTTTTGGTTCTTTGAGGCAAGAAAGGACCCTGAAAATGCCCCTCTCGGCATCTGGATGAACGGTGGCCCGGGTAGCTCGTCGATGTTTGGAATGATGACTGAGAACGGGCCTTGCTTCGTCAATGCAGACTCCAATTCTACTCGCCTGAACCCTCATTCTTGGAACAATGAAGGTATGCCATCAGCTTCTGATGGAAAACTAAATATTGCTAACATTGTACTTTCTGTGACTAGTCAATATGCTGTATATAGACCAGCCAGTGCAGGTCGGTCTGTCCTACGACACTTTGGCCAACTTCACCAGGAATCTAGTCACGGATGAGATCACGAAACTGAAACCCGGAGAACCTATTCCGGAACAGAATGCCACTTTCCTGGTAGGTACATATGCAAGCCGCAATATGAACACCACTGCACACGGAACTAGGCATGCTGCCATGGCTCTCTGGCACTTCGCCCAAGTCTGGTTCCAAGAGTTCCCAGGATATCACCCTAGGAACAACAAGATCAGCATTGCTACCGAATCCTACGGCGGCCGTTATGGCCCGGCCTTTACTGCCTTCTTTGAAGAGCAGAACCAGAAGATCAAGAACGGCACATGGAAGGGACACGAGGGAACTATGCACGTGCTGCATCTCGACACCCTCATGATCGTCAACGGATGCATCGACCGTCTTGTCCAATGGCCGGCATATCCGCAAATGGCGTACAACAACACATATAGCATCGAGGCAGTCAACGCCAGCATTCATGCAGGAATGCTGGATGCCCTCTACCGCGACGGTGGCTGTCGAGACAAGATTAACCACTGCCGCTCCCTCTCTTCTGTGTTCGATCCTGAGAATCTCGGCATCAACTCAACCGTCAATGATGTCTGCAAGGATGCCGAGACATTCTGCTCCAATGATGTTCGCGATCCCTACCTCAAGTTCTCTGGCCGCAACTACTATGACATCGGACAGCTTGACCCCAGCCCATTCCCAGCACCATTTTACATGGCCTGGCTAAATCAGCCGCATGTGCAGGCAGCACTGGGTGTGCCACTTAACTGGACACAGTCAAACGATGTTGTGTCTACCGCATTCCGTGCAATTGGTGACTACCCTCGGCCAGGGTGGCTGGAGAACCTGGCTTATTTGCTGGAGAATGGCATCAAGGTTTCGCTTGTTTACGGTGATCGGGACTACGCATGCAACTGGTTCGGTGGTGAGCTCTCAAGTCTGGGAATCAACTACACTGACACCCACGAATTCCATAATGCCGGCTATGCAGGTATCCAGATCAATAGCAGCTACATCGGTGGACAGGTGAGGCAGTACGGCAACCTCTCCTTCGCCCGCGTCTACGAGGCCGGCCATGAGGTGCCATCGTACCAACCCGAGACTGCACTGCAGATATTCCACCGTTCCCTGTTCAACAAGGATATCGCTACTGGAACCAAGGACACGTCATCGCGCATGGACGGAGGCAAGTTTTACGGCACCTCGGGCCCTGCGGACTCGTTTGGTTTCAAGAACAAACCTCCACCGCAGCACGTCCACTTCTGTCATATCTTAGACACCAGCACCTGCACCAAGGAGCAGATCCAGTCAGTTGAGAACGGCACTGCCGCCGTACGCAGCTGGATCATTGTCGACTCCAACTCGACCTCTCTGTTCCCCGAGGTAGTTGGCTCAGGGGAACCCACGCCAACCCCTATGCCTGGAGGGGCTACTACACTATCTGCTCACGGGTTCTTGTATGGCGTGACATTATGGGCTGTTATTGTTGTAGCTGTTATAGAGCTGGCAATGTAAATAGCGAGTCGTCGGGCCCTAGACGTAAGGAGAATATGGGTGCAATCTACATAGATAAATATAACTAAGGGTTGAAACCGCCGACAAGAGGCACCGAGTAACTAGCGGTTAGTTGAATTAGTCAGGGAATAATGCTCATAGAAATAACAACAAGCCCGCTGTAAAAATGAAAAAATAAACAGCCTCTCTCCTCTCTATTTATAGATTCTCTGTTTCGGGAGAAAGAGGAGCCAGAAAGAGGCAGGCACATTCCAGAGTTAAGGGAGGCGCAACTAACTACGGAGTAGTTAGCTATTTAAAAAGAGAAGCGACGACCTTATATCTATTTATAGTTTAGCTTTCTTTTCCTTGCCATCAAAGCCTCCTCAACTAGGCAGCCACGACCCCCTGGCCTCTTTTCTCTCCTTGTGAGGAAGGTTCCCCTGAGCCGCTTTGTATAACTAGTTAACGAGTTAAAAAGCGAGCCCACCGATTGGCTGCAGCGAGGAAAAGGCAACCTCACCAACACCAGCCAATATCGGATGGCGAATTCCCTGGCGAGATATATTGCCCCGGGCCATTGAGGAGCTAGCTCCTCTTTGCGGATTATCGCTAGACCTGTCTCTAGTTGAAGTAGAAGTCGGATGGATCCTGCTCTTTATACCTCTGCTATTGATGCTGAGCCGCTTCATCGGTATCGACATGGCGGCTAGTTATCATTCCGCCCTGCTAAAAGAGTCATTGAAAGATGGCAGGTACGAGGTCCTGCGCGAGCTGGGTTGGGAGAAGCTACTCAACGGTTTGGGCTGCAAGAGACCAAATGTTAGCCTTCCAACGGGACATACGGAGTGGCATCTCAAGATATAGATGGCATTACGGCTAACTATACGGAGTATTTTCTGCCTGTCCGTAGAGAGAAGGCCTATATGGCTGTGAAGATTTCCGTTGCAGGGAGCGATGAGAATGCAGTAGGCATGTGAGAGCTCCAAATACGAGGGAATTGCGTCTTATCAATCCCATCTCAAACACACAGTTTGCATGCTTGATAGCTTTGACAAACAGGGTCCTAATGGTTCTCATTAATGCGTGGTTTATGAACTGCTTGGGCCCAACGTTGCCGACACGACTGACTCTCACTTTACTAGTGGAAGACTTCCTGGCAAGCTCGCCAAGCCATAGGATTGGAATAACCCAAGGCATAATCCTAATCACTGGTTCCAACCGTGGCCTTGGCTGCTCAATCGTCCAGAGAATTCTTCACAGACGTAGTTTTGCGGAAAAATGTACATGCAAGCAACTGAGAGAGACACAATGCTTGTAGAATGGCGATAAGTCAAGGGAGGAATACACCCTTCATATAGCGAAGATTGCATACACCACACATAATTAAGTATCATTTCCTTCCAGTTGAAGTCCGGGGGGAAACTTGGAGTATACCAACTGGAAAACCCGAAATATGATATAATTACCATATTGCGTGGGCGGTACTAAACGGCGAATCAATAATACATACCAAAACTACCGTCTAGATTGAACATTGAATCGGCCATCTAATGAAATGAGTGAGGTGGGATCTAATGATGGGAGATATATTTGGAAGCTCACCACCTACCATAAACCGCCAATCTTCTGCTCCTTCACCCATGTTATCCAGAGGCATTTCGTGAAGCACGCCAGTAGACTTCTCAACATTGTCCATTGTAGCCACGCGGCTAAGTATGGATAATGATGCTGCGGATGCATCTTCAAGAGCGCCTATTAAAGACCTAGGAGTGCAATCCTCCACTAGATATTTTAGGAGTGCTTGAATGTGGGCATCAATTACAAATATGAGCAGGTGTCCCTTGATGTTGGTTTCGCCGGCTTCTATACATTGGATAGACCAGGCTTTCGCGTTTTTCAGAACTGTAAACAGATCTTGACTCAAGGGTATTGGGACTAGGCTTTCACTATCTTGAATCAGTGCTCTAAGCTCTACTGCCATAAGCAGGGTAGCCTGAAGCAAAGCAGTTCGATAAAATCCCGAGCCGCAAGTGGCTAGGAGAGTTAACCTATCATGAGGCGATGAATCAAGGCACTTATTAGACTGGCGAGGTGGGAAGGAGGAAATTTGATAGACGCTATGCCATATTTTAGAAGCTGCCTCAATAATGGCCTTTCTAGTGAATGTGTAAGCTGATTCTTGCAAAGATATACCGAAAAAAAGGTATATGCAGCAGGAAAGATACCGTTGCATAATTAAATCAACTGCACGAAACTCAAACAGAGGCAAAGGGCAAGGTCTGCGAACATAGCCTTGTATAGTCTTGCATAAAGACTTGTAAACAGATCTGAGTTCCTTGTCAAGTTGAAGAGCTGTTTCGTAGGTGCCTAAAGAACCGTGACTATTCAAAAAAGTTATCCCCGCTAAGCGCTGGGGCAAAGTGTCACGAAGAGCCATGGAGATTGACGTTTGGGTAAATTCATTCTTTTTTATAGCAGTAGAATCCTCGATTTGTTCATCATCGAAGTTTCTCGGAGATTTTGTGTCGAAATCATCAATAGAGAATAATGGAGGTCCTCCGGAAGTTAAGCTCGACTGAAGGCAAACTTCAAGAATCGTATTCCAGACTCTACGACGCATTTCTGCCACAAACAAGGTATTTCAAGGTATTCCATCAAGGTCTTTATGCAGCCCCATATAGATTGCTCTTCTTAACAAGGTACCGACTGACACCCACATCGGATCTCCGTCGATGTCTACCGTTTTTTGGGCAAACAGAAGTAACAGATGTGACTGTAATGATTGAATGTTAGATCTTAATTTGAATTTAGGGTCCAAAAGCCAGGCCTGAGCTTCATATATCCATTTATTTGCCAGAGCCCGTAAAGAGAAGTCCTTGTCGTAGGTGACCGCACCGATAGCGAGTACTAACTTAACCTGAACTACGAAAGCGTTGTTGACCGCAGGGTCTACTGCAGACAGGAACAGTGTCTCATAGTCTCTTCTAAAGGTTGGGATGTGCAGAATTCGATACACAGATTCTATCGTCTGGAGGTAACAGTCCACAAGCTCGTCAGACACCTGTTTGGAAGGGAGATCTAGAGTGAGATTGATAGGGCCCGAGGGTACTCGCCGCGGCTTGATGGTTCTAGCCAACGCCTTACACTTTTCAATATTGGAAAGAGCAATAGGTTGGTTGTGTTGTAAATGCTGCTCAACTGTCCCACAAATGTCATCAAACTAAATAGCTGTCATTACCTGATGCTCGAAAATTTTCCATGTGGCACGGGGCTTACCAGAGAAATCAGATTCACCCAATGACTTTGACCAAACGAACGCCCTTTGTGTGTGGTAGTACCGGATATAACAAGAGGTCCACCCAGCAAACCAGCCCTGCGGTGGGTCTGAAATGTACCGCCGAGCTGCGATGATGTCTCTTCTATTCTAGGCAACAAAGTGTTGTGGTTATTTGGGTTGAGAGTGTGTGGTTGATTTACTCCAGAGCCAGTCCTGGCGCTATCCATAAAAACTGTAACATTGGACTGCTGGCTTACCGCGGCAGATCCATTGGTAGACCTTTCCGTCAGCGAAGGCGGATAGCTCTGAGAAGCAGGTCTTTCACTGGATATACAATCTGTACCTTTTATATTTGACCCTTCAACCGAGATAAGCGCTGTCGGCTTATTACTGGTATCGAATTGTGGTGGTAAAGGCACCGGTTTATGCTCATAAAGACATGACCTGGCCCGAGACCGTACACAGTTGCTACAAGGCTGCCCTCGGTTGCACCGAATCTTCCTTCTCCGGCAAAGGGAGCAGGCCCTATACGACCTTTACCATTAGCCTTGATAGCGAGGTAATGAGGAAGAGGTGGAGATAGCTTACACGGGAGGCCTAGCGCCAACAAGGTAGAGAGCTGGCGGTTAATGATACCAAAAATAAAGTAGCAGGAGTGCTTAGAGTAATAATGGTCATCATAACGGACGTCTGTTTTGTTGGTACCGGCAAATGATGCAGCTATCAGTTTGACCACGGGAGCCAGAGGTTAAAGGTTGTTGTCGAAAAACAACGCCGCTGATTGGTAGATCCCGGAGTTTAAACTCTGTAAGCTTACCTAACCAACCCGTTGAACTTCAAATATCACGTGACTTTGTTTTTGGTCCGTATCGTCTCCCATTTCCCGCCGCTTCGGTAAGGTACTGTCAGTTTTTGTATTAGTCATGTTATCTCGCTACACCTTGCTTAGCACATTCGATAGAGCTCAATATTTTCATTATCCTCCTTTCTGACAGGTACCACCTAATTAAGGTTGGCGGGCGGCTCCGAGCCCAAGTCCGAGCCCGAGTCTGGCTGCCGACCGCCGACCTGGACGTCAACAGCAAATGCACCACAAGAAGCCGAACAAAAGAGCCCCTGCCGCAGCGCTGTAGCCGACACCTATGTCAAATAGCTCGCCCAGCTTCGATGCATCCTTCACCTCATTATCAATCAACCGACCATGCAAGTCCACGGTTCTACCGAGCCTCTCTCTGCAATAATAGTCAATAGCCCTACAACGGCTGTTTTTGTCAAATCGAATGAGCCAAAGTCTGCGAGTTTTAACAACAAAGTGGATTACTTAGTCAGCGGTGGTAACTTCAATTCACGTGATTTTGTCTGATTAGTCATCCTGCAACTCCAAAAGAGTAGAGGAAAAAAAACATCAACAACGACGAGGAGGAAGCAAAACTTCGAGCAAGCAAGCAGAGAAATTAACCCGGCGCGGACCTTATCTCCCTCTCCAGCGAGCAAAAGAGCCCACAGCGATGTTCCAGGGGCTTGGTCTTAGCCAGTCGCCGGCCTCTACAGGCTCGCTGTTCGGCCAAGGAGCTGTTGAACAGCCGGCCCAAGGTACAGTTCAAGCTCCAGCTCAGCGCCCTTCGCTCTTTGCGCCCAGCTCAAGTAGGATATATCTAGTCCTCTCCAGGCGTGTGTATGTGTGTGTGCCGTTGCTGACAAGTATGATAGATACCACAAGCGGCCTACAACCTCCTTCTGGCTCGAGCATCTTCGGCCAACCTACCACCGCTGCCCAAGCTGGTCAGACCCCGGCAACAACTGGGCTCCCGTCTCAACAGCCTACCACCGCGGCGCAACCACCCACTCAACCCGCATATTTCAGCAGTCTGTTAGAAAAGGGCAAGAAGCGACCCCTCTCGAGCTTCCAGAATGTCTCCTCCGTCGAGTTGCCCAGTCTCCAGCTTGGTTTGGATGACATTAGAAAATCTGCCCGCGGTCTAGGATCGACCAGTCCTCGCAGAGGGTCTCATATGCCTGCCATCACCGAACATAAAATGTAAGTGGTGACCATAACTACACAGTTCGTCTCGAGGATAGCCTCCTAATTTGCATCCAACAGGCTTTCATCTCTCACCGCATCTGGTATCTCTCCGGGAAAAGTGCTGCAAGACCTCCACACCTTCAATACACAGACAGGTACCCCGGCAGTTCCAGCTGCACCGGTGCCAGCTCCGTCGGTATCTTTCGAACAAGAGTCCTTTGACCCCGATAACCAAAAGTTCCTGCGGCGGGTGCAACAGCGCGGTAGAGAGGCTATGATTGCCGAGAGCCTGGCCAGAGCTCGTAAGGACTTTGACACCTTCCTCGAGGACAAAGTTAGTCTCAACTGGGACGAACAACGCCAGAAGATCTATGAACATTTTGGACTGGTATCAAAAGATGGCACTGGATCTGGCAGCTTCGGTTTCTCCAGACGTGACCAGGGCGGAAAGGCAGACAGAGATGAGCATGCAGGCTTTCAATCTACCAGCCGCAAAAGCGTTTTTGGCCGATCCGGTCTATCCAAGTCAATCATAGGCTCTGCCAGCGTGGGCGGCGCCGGATCGATCTTTGCCGACTCTACCACGAGATCTACCGCCTTACCACAGCAAGGTGGCGATTCTAGATCTATGCGGGAGAAGATAGGACATTTTGGTTTGAAGGTCCAAAAGTTAAACGAAATGAGACTCCAGGAGAGGACGTTTCCGGTACTGCATGAGTTTGCTGAAGCCCAAACGGTTGCAGATAGCGATGTGAGTATTTACCCACGCGGATTTGGTTAACAGCAATGTGAGCTGACTTGCAATTTATAGGCCCCAAAACAGCTTACTGAAGCCTACCATGCCCTGATCAGTATCACCGATGAGCCCGCTAGTTCAGTAGGCTATTTTGAGCCTGGTGCTCTACGGCCGCGTCAATTCGCCAAGGACTACAGAGAAGATGGCCCCAATTCTATTGAGGCTCTAAAGATGAGAAAACAAATCATTACCGGGTCAAGAAAACATCTTGAACGTTCGTTCTACAGAGAAGTCGAAGAGGCAATCGCTAAAAACCCCCGGGAGGCCCAGCTGGGTGGTGTTCCTACCATTATTAATAAGATTCGAGCTTATATCCGACTGCGTGCAGCACGGAAGGACCTTGCCCCTGACGGAACAGAGCTGCAGATGGTGAATGACGATTATTGCTGGATTCTCATCTTTTATCTCCTCCGATGTGGGTTCATTGACGAGGCTGCAGAGTATGTGAGCCGCGACCCGGGCTTCCGCTCGATGGACTATAAATTTGTCACCTACATGGCCACATACGCTCAGCACAGGCGGCTGCCCCGTGACCTACAACAGAAGATTGGCGCAGAGTACCAGCAACGCCTACGGAATGCGCCGGAGAACACCATTGACCCGTATCGGATGGCTTGCTATAAGATCATCGGTAGATGCGACCTAAACCAACGCCGGCTTGACGGCTTGGGCCAGGGAGTAGAGGATTGGATGTGGCTGCAGTTCGCTCTGGCGCGGGAAGACACCCGGGCCGAGGAGGTAGCTGGTGATATTTTCGGTTTAGAAGATATCAAGAAGGACATTGCCGAAATCGGCCAGAGGGTATTTCCCAAGGGCCAGGAAACCCCTGGTGCCTATGGTATTTTCTTCTTGCTCCAGATTCTCGGTGGGATGTTTGAACAGGCTGTTGCATATCTTGGTTCATATGCACCCATAGACGCAGTCCACTTTGCCATTGCTCTTGACTATTATGGTCTACTACGCGTGTCGGACTTCTATACCTCTGGGGATGAGCTTTGTAAGTTTTCCATCTTTTATCCACAAATACTTGGGTTTATACCTTTTACTAACTTATTTCAACAGTGTCATTCACCACACGCCAACTTCCGCAGATCAACTTCGCAGCCCTAGTCATGCAATACACTGGGGAATTCCGACTAGGGAACGTTGAAGCCGCAGTGGACTATTTCACTCTCATCTGCTTGAACACAGATCTTCCCGGAGAACTGGGAAAATCTCAGGCTGCCGTATGCCACGAAGCTCTACGCGAGTTTATTCTTGAAACACGAGACTTCGCCAAATTGTTGGGTGATATCAGATCCGATGGGACTCGAATCAAGGGTGTGATCGAACAGCGATTGAAACTAATCAACCTCGATGACCAAGAAGAGTTCCTCAAGGCTGTCACTGTTCAGGCGGCCGCTGTAGCCGATGACAAGGGACTTACTGCAGACGCCGTTCTGCTTTATCACCTCGCAGAGGAATATGACAATGTTGTCTCGATTCTCAACCGGATCCTCTCTGACGCCGTTTCTGTCCCACTTGGTGAGGCAGCCATCAAGATTGAGCCCGTTAAGCCACGAACAGGAGGCCAATCCTCAACGGCAGCACCCCTTGAACCAGGGTGCAGTCTTAGCCTAACCTCAGTGGATGATCCCATTGTCTTAGCTAAGAACATGATCAGCCTGTACAACACAAATGCTCTTTACTACCAGAAGATCCACCCTACCAATCGCGAGGCATGTGGTCTTCTCCTGCGCATGATGGAGGCCAAATCAAAAGTCGAAGCAGGCCAGTGGGCCCCTGCCTTGGATGTAAGTTTTTCGCTATTTAGCACTATATCTCTTCCAATCGTTCCCGAACTAACATGTTTCCAGGATATCAACAATCTACAAATACTACCGCTCACTGCCCAGGGTTCAGTCACCTACGTCCGCAGCACGGTTCAGGCATTCTCCTCTCTACCTCCCGTCATTGCTCGGAATGCTGGCAACCTAGTGATATGGAGTATAATCTGTATCAACCGCGAGCGAGAGAGGATGTACGCTGGAGTTTACGAGAATGATATGCGGCAAACTCTTCTTGACGAGCTTGTGCTCATGGCAAAGGATCTGATGGTGTTTTCTGGAATGATCAAATACAAACTCCCGCCTCGAGTCTATGAGACATTGGCTAAGGCTGGTGGAGATGTCGGACTGTCCCTGTAAATGACGAACTCTTGATATCCTGTTTTATTTACCTTTCTTTTCCATTACTGCCCGCCAACATAATGCCACTTTAGATCCACGAAATAATGGTGCATCTACTCATCCAACGGGTTGGTGCGATAGACTGGACTCGTCGCTTACCACATAAACTGTTTCACCTCATTCTGTATGAAACAACAGCCAGCATCAAGCCGCCGATACAAGGCTAAATAATGTTGAGAATGATCCCATTACGTAATAGATATGAAATAAAGCCGTGCCAGTCAAATGATTGTTAGGAATAAATGTGAACCAATAGAAACTCCATCCTTCGCATAAAAGCCGGCCTTTCAGCCAATGATAATCGAGATAAACAGATCATCTGACTAATCTGGTGCTAGTCCGAAGAGGTAATTATAACGCAGCTAAACCAAGCCTGTTATGAGCTTACTAATCCATTTGGCCGTCACACAATAAATGGGTTTCTTCCTTCTTTTCTGCTTCTTTCCTTCTTTTTCGTGTTCAATCTTCATCTTCGACCTTGATCCGTTTCGTCTGATATTCCATTATACATCGACGTTAGCGTTGCTGAAAGTATACTGAAACTTCGAGCTTGTTTGTGTTTGTGTTAGTGTATATTTACGTGTTTGCTGGAGGCGACGGCAAACATGGAGGAACCTCATACTAGCACAGAGCAGCCAGAGGGTACTGAGCTACATCAGCACCAGTCTCATGAAGATACGGAGATGGAAGATGAACCTGAACTAGTCGCGGAAGAGGAGATGGACGATGGTGACTCCAGACTCCAGGCTGATATACATGCACAGGTCGATGGGGATAACTCCCAGGCGCACCAGTCTCCTCCAGGTACTAGACCAGAGCATCCACAGACTACTGGAGAAGCCCCATCATCGGCGCCGCCATCATCAACATCACATCCGCCAGCAAATGGCGGCACTGCCGGAACCCAGTTCCAACTGCCACCTGTAGAGAACTGGCGGCCCTATGTCAACCCTCCAAATCTGGGCCGGGTCAGACAGCTGCTATTCGAGGTCAAGGAACCAGTCGAACTTAGCCTCGAGGAATTCACTATGTACTGGCCATTTATAGATAATATCTGGGTTAAACAGCGGTCCACATCTACCAAAGATGGCCTGCATATAACGGATTACTACATGTGCCGCCTGCGCCGACCAACTTGCAAGCGGCCACCTCAGCGCCCGCTGCCAGACGGCAAACGGCCCAGGAACAAGGTCGTCCGCGAGGGAGGAACTTGCAACTTTCAAATCCGAGTAGTCAGGTTTGAAGGAGCCCATACTACAATCACCATATCCCGCAGCCCTAATAGTAGCAGTGCCCATTCACATGATTTGGACTACATTGACAAGGTCAAGAAGAACTCTGGTGTGATGGAGTACGTCCGCCAGGAGGCTGCCCAGGGCTACCTTCCGGCATCTATATTTGCAAAGATAAGAGAGGACCCTCAACAACTCGAAGCTGCTGGTGGAAAGCATCTGACTACGATTGATGTTCGAAATGTATCCGGAAAGTGGAGATCGAACCATCCAGGCCTCACCCTTCGGCCGCATGAAGGCTATGCCTACCAGAATGGACTGGGCGTCTATAAGGTACAGGACGGACAGCACATAAACCGTCCACCAGCCATAATCGCCCATCCCAGAGCGATGAATCTACCTGCCAACGTCCTCCCGTTTCCAACTTTCCCTCTGGATTTCTTGGAGCCGTATCTACCAAAGATAGGGGAAGATCATAACTATGGCAATGCCAACCCCAACAGCGGAGAGACCAAGTTTCCGCATGTTACCCTTACTTACGCACAGTCTATGGATGGTAAAATTTCCAGCAAGCCAGGTGTCCAAACTGTACTCTCTGGTCCAGAATCCAAGGCAATGACGCATTATTTGAGATCCCGTCATGACGCTATAATAATTGGACTTGGAACTGCTTTGGCTGATGACCCAGGCTTAAACTGTCGATTAGAAGGTGCTGGAGGCTTCGGTGGCTTTGGGACCATGTGGCAACCCCGGCCTGTTATAATTGATCCCACAGGGCGATGGTCTGCATCAGCCGAGAGTAGGCTGCTGAAGACCGCAGCGGAAGGAAAAGGCAAAGCTCCCTGGGTCATCGTCTCTCCTGGTGCAGAACTCCTTCCGGACAAGCTTATGCTGTTGAAACGTCACGGCGGTGATTACCTGCGGATCAGGGAATATAATCCACACTGGCGACTGAGATGGGAAGCCATATTCGGTGCACTAGCAAATCAGGGTATCCGCAGCGTCATGATCGAAGGAGGAGGTGTTGTCCTCAGCGAACTCCTTAATCCGGAATATGTTGACTTCGTTGACTCTGTCATTGTCACCGTTGCACCAACTTACGTTGGTCGTAACGGTGTGTCTGCATCGCCGGACTCCAAGCAGGACGAACTAGGCAACCCAATAAATGCCCTAACGCCTCACAACATCAAATGGCAGCCTTTGGGTAAGGATGTCATCATGTGTGGGAAGATAAAGATCGCACCACCTCCTCCACCTCCACCTCCAATTCTTCTTGGCTTAGAAGCTGCTGCTCGTGCGGATGAATCCTGAATCCGGGTCTATTAGTCAGTGGACGATCCTGTGGAGTGTCGATAAAGCAGTTTCAGCTTTGCATGCCACTCGGGTTGCCACTTCGAATAGGCCTTTTGCATTTGCGATGCAACAGCTAGGCACTCTTATGATCTACCAGGCTAAGTCATACTCATTGTAGGGATAATGCAAGCGCGCACTTACCCTGCACCGAGACCCTACGCCGGTTTGCAGCAAAGAGTCAGGTATCGCAAGCAATCTCCGCAAACATACCGCGCCTGGAGTTCAACTCATCCCTCTCAGATCAGTCCACCTGGATTCGTCAATGATATCTTGCTTCATCATGGCGGACAAATTCTACTACGCCGGTTAAGCTTATGGCGATCATGTAAGTATGCCTCGATATTCCACCCGTCACTCCCGTTTGCCGACTCTAGGCTAGATAAGTCTGCGGTGGGTGTACCGCATATTGCAGTTACTAATATTATATATAGTGAGCTGTAACATTCCACGACTTCATCTCCTAAAAATGCGCGTATTTTCACTTTCATGATCCATGGATTCGTCAGACCTATTCCTTAGATAGTGGTCGTTAGTTCAGGAACAGCCGCAGCTTCGCTTGTTCAGTAGCACAGCAATATTTCGAGTGGCCAACCTCTATAAAATCGTTATCACACCTTTATTTTCCATGGCTTTATTTATATTATATGTCACAACAATATCTAGCACAGACATATACCTAGTTAATTAATGAATCAATGTAGCTCTATAATTTTACGAGGATGTATACTTCACATATTTAATACTATTAACTTGCAGGAACCAACACCGGCTACTTTATTAATTCTGCCAATCAAGTCCTCGACTTCTGATTCAGTCACTGCATCCATTATCTCTCCCATTGTCCCCCCTATTGTCTGCACTCCTTGTCCTGGTCTCTTTATGTCTTGCTTCCTCTGTCAGGCCCCGAATCGCCTGTATTGTTGCTTACGTAAGCCGGCTATCCACGACGTCGAACTTCGAACAACCGGAAAAAAACAACAACAACAACAACTTCGAAGACTTCTCCTGCTCGTTCATCAAATTCCGCACACGCAGCACTCATCACTCATAAACTCGTCTTGACATTGCTATACCCGTACTTTACTTGCTTGATTCACCCGAGACATCCGTTTTACAGCGATTTTCCTGCCTACCATGGCGCCTGCACGAGCTTCGACGCGTGCCAAAGCAACTACAACAAAAGCACCCACCAAGGAAAAGACCTCGACTACGATGACCAAAAAGGCTGGTGTGAAGAAGGCAGCTACCGCGTCTGCCGTGAAGAAGAAGACTACAGCTTCCGCCTCCGAGACGAAGAAGACAAAGCTCAAGACCGATGCTGCAAAGGCTGCCGTAGGCGCCAACGCGAAAGCTACCACCAAGCGCAAGACGGCGTCGAATGCCCGCGCTACTGGTGCTGTTGCAGGAGCCCCGGCTCCTCCAGCCCGCAAGCGGAAGACCTCTGCCGATGAAGAGGTAGAAAAGGCGGCTGCTGAGCCCAAACCCAAGAAGGCTCGCGTCGCAAAGGCCCCCGTCACCCGCAAACCCAAGCCAAAAGTGGTGATAAACAAGGCTCCTACGCAGAAGCTAAGAGTCTTTGTTTGCGGAGAAGGCAGCCAGGGAGAGCTCGGCCTCGGAGCTGCCAAGGGCACTGTTGACGTGAAACGTCCACGTCTCAATGCCCTGCTGGCGCCCGAGGATGTCGGCGTGGTTCAAGTCGCCGCAGGCGGAATGCACTGCGTTGCGCTGACCCACGATGGCAGGGTTCTCACCTGGGGTGTCAACGATCAAGGCGCGTTGGGTCGTGACACCACCTGGGAGGGTGGCCTGAAGGATATCGATGACGCAAAGAGTGATGACAGCTCCGACTCCGGCAGTGACAGTGGGTTGAACCCCTACGAGTCCACCCCAACAGCCATCCCATCCGACGCGTTCCCCGAGGGTACTGTCATCGTTCAAGTTGCTGCTGGTGATAGCTCATCTTTTGCGCTCACTGACGATGGTTTGGTCTACGGCTGGGGTACATTCAGAGTACGTGTTTTTACATTCCCTTACTTTCCTAAAAGAATAATATTGCTAACAAGATGATCCAGGGAAACGAAGGAATCATCGGCTTTGATGCTGACACGAAGATTCAGACAACCCCAAAGCTTATCTCAGGCCTCAAGAAGATTATTCATGTTGCTTGCGGCGACAACCATGCCCTCGCTATCGACAATCGTGGCGCTGTTTTTGCATGGGGATCTGGTCAGCAGAACCAGCTTGGTCGCCGCATCGTTGAACGCAACAAGCTCAACGGACTACAGCCTCGCGAATTTGGCCTCCCAAAGAACATCATCCACGTTGGCTGTGGCTCATTCCACTCGTTTGCAGTTCATAAATCTGGCAAAGTTTACGGCTGGGGTCTGAACAGTTACTGCGAAACTGGCATTCAGCAAGGTGCTGGAGATGATGAGGCTGTTATCCTTCACCCCACTGTCGTCGACTCCCTTAAGGACAAGAATATTGTCCAAATTTGCGGCGGTTCTCACCATACCCTTGCTCGCACAATTGATGGAGATTGTCTTGTTTGGGGCCGTCTCGACGGTTTCCAATCTGGTCTCAAGGTCGATACCCTGCCTGAATCTGCCGTCATCAAAGATGATAGGAACCGTGCTCGCGTCCTGTTCGAACCCACTGCCGTCCCCGGCTTCAAGGCAGAATATGTTGCTGCCGGTGCAGATCATTCTATTGCTATCGACAATGAAGGTCGCGCGTGGACCTGGGGCTTCTCCGCCAACTACCAGACAGGACAAGGAACCGACGATGATATTGAAGTTGCTACCGTTGTTGACAACACCGCTGTGCGCGGAAAGAAACTGAATACCGCCGGCGCCGGTGGACAATACTCTATCTTCACTGCCATTGCCGAGTAATTGCCAAAAGGAATACTCAAAAACTTGGCTCCTCTACAGAATGGTCCGCATTTCGCCTGTGTCTCCTGGAGGTTTTAAAAACCAAGTTGTCCCAGCAAATGGCCATTGGACCTTCTATACCTCATCACCCCCTCTCCTCTCCCATTTTTTCCAACATTGTAACCTTACTCTTCCGAGCTTTTTGCTTTATTTATTGCGTGGAAAATGCCCTTTTGATTTGGTTCGTCTCTCCTGTCCTTGTATTTACTTGGCGTTACCGGCTCTACGTTTTCAGTTTCCTACACCCATTGTTTGTTCTGATATTTGATATGGCCTCTTTTTTCACGCTGACTGGGCTACTGACATTTGTTGACTGTTCCTCTTTTTGTGAAGGTGCCATTGGTTCCCATCTCCGTCAGATATATCTCCCAAGCATCTTTCTAGTGCTTTAGGGCTCTTGTCTGCCTTTCTGTCTTACTATTGCCGTCTGTGGGAGTTCTCATTTCTATCAACCCTCTACTAAACAATATCCCAGGCACCGCACTTAGCTGGGGCCTTTGGGTGTGTTTACAGAGCTTTTTCTCTGGTATCTTTGTTGAGCGATGCTTCATATGGTTTACTGTTTCTTCATCGTGTTACTTACCTCCAATCCTCCCTCCAAGGTTAACCTTGAGGTGTAGGTGACGAACTAGGTATACTCTGCTACTCTCTGTATTTATTTCAAGGTGTTTTTCTACAAAAAAAGGGGGGAGGGGAGGAACAGT